ATGCATTTAATGTCATGGAACTGGGCCGGGCGCAGTGGCTCACACCTGTAATCCCAGCACTTTGGGAGGCCGAGGCGGGCGGAGTATAAGGTCAGGAGTTTGAGACCATCCGGGTCAACATGGTGAAACCTCGTCTCTACTAAAAATACAAAAATTTAGCCAGGTGTGGTGTGTGTGCCTGTAGTCCCAGCTACTCGGGGAGGCTGAGGCAGGAGAATTGATTGAACCAGGGAGGCGGAGGTTGTAGTGAACCGAGATTATGCCATGTGCTCCAGCCTGGTTGACATGAGTGAGACTCCGTGCTCAAGACAATAACAAAAAAGCTGGAGCAGTGATCACGCCTTGTAATCCTAGCACTTTGGGATAGGCCAAGCCAGGCGGATCACGACGGTCAGGAGATCGAAGACCATCCTGGCTAACACGGTGAACCCGTCTCTACTAAAAATATGAAAAATTAGCAGCGGCGAGGTGGCGGGCGCCTGTAATCCCAGCACATCAGGAGGCTGAGGCAGGAGAATGGCGTGAACGGGGAGGCGGAGCTTGCAGTGGAGCGAGGATCGGGCCACTGCACTCCAGCCTGGGCGACAGAGTCAGACTCCGTCTCAAAATAAATAAATAAATAAAACAAAAAAACAGTCACGGAACTGATGGAAATTGCCTAAGGGGAGATGTAGAAGAAAAGAGGTCCCAGGATCGCCAGCAGAGGAGGCAGAAAAGGTAAGGTGTGTGAGGTGGCAGAAAAAGGGGAGAGTGTGGACAATGAGGGTTTCAAGAAGGTGGAACTCTCTACCGCCCCCTGCCAAGGACGGAGGTGTCCACTGCCAGTTGACACGAGGTCACCCATGAACTTGGTGACAGGAATTTCAGTGGAGAAGTGAACACAGACACAAGCCTGGGGTTGGAGGAAATGGGAGCCGAGGCAGCGTAGACATTAGAGGAAGCTGCTCCTAGCAGAGCAGCTCTGAGGGAGCACCGAGAAATGGGCAGTGGCTTTAGGGGATGTGGTGTCAAGGAAGTGTCTCTTAAAGAAGTGGGGGGTCAGGTGCGGTGGCTCACGCCTGTAATCCCAGCACTTTGGGAGGCCGAGGCGGGCAGATCATGAGGTCAGGAGATCAAGGCCATCCTGGCCAACATGGTGAAACCCCCGTCTCTAGTAAAAATACAAAAAAGTAGCTGGGCGTGGTGGCTCACGCCTGTAATCCCAGCACTTTGGGAGGCTGAGGCGGGCAGATCACTTGAGGTCAGGAGTTCGAGACCAGCCTGGCCAACATGGTGAACCATCATCTCTAATGAAAATACAAAAATTAGCCAGGAGTGGTGGCACGTGCCTGTAATCCCAGCTATTCAGGAGGCTGAGGCAGGAGAATCACTTGAATCCGGGAGGCAGAGGTAGCGGTGAGCCAAGATGGTGCCTTTGCACTCCAGCCTGGGGGACAGAGCGAGACTCCATCTCAAAAAAAATAAGAAAGCGCGGAATGGAGGATGTTTGAAGGCTGAGGAAGGATCCTTGAGGGCCGGACACGCTGACCCTGCAGGAGAGGACACATTCTTCTCACAGGGGTCAGACAAAAGAGAAATCTTTATAATTGATGATTTTAAGATTTTTATTTTTTATTCTTTTTTATAGAGACACGCATTTTTCACCATGTGGCCCAGGTTGGTCTCCAGCTCCTGGGTTCGAGTGTGCTGGGATTATAGGCATATAGGCATATAATCTGAGCCACTACACCTGGCCCAGAACCTTTACTAAGGATTTGTTAAAATGATTTACTTATTTGTGAATAGGTATTTTGTTCACATGGTTCACAACTCAAAAGCAACAAAAAGCACCCAGTGAAAAGCCTTCGTCTCATTCTGATTTCTAGTCACCGGATTCTACTCTTGGGATGCAGTGTGTTTTTTTGTTTGTTTGTTTGTTTGTTTTTGAGACTGAGTCTCGCTCTGTTGCCCAGGCTGGAGTGCACTGGCCGGATCTCGGCTCACTGCAAGCTCTGCCTCCCGGGTTCACTTTTTGCCACATTCCTCCTGCCTCAGCCCGCTGAACCAAGTAGCTGGGACTACAGGCGCCTGCCACCCCCCCCCCTCGCCCGCTTAGTTTTCTGTATTTTTTAGTAATGAGAACCGGGGTTTCCACTGTGGTTAGCCATGCATGGTACATGGATCTCCTGCGACCTCATGACTCGCCCCCGGTCTCCGGCCCATCCCAAAGGTGCTCGGGATTACAGGCGTGAGCAGCCCAGTGGCCCGGGACAGGCATGCAGTGTTTTTTAATCTCCTTTTTGTAATCCCTGTTTGGAAAACAGTATTGTTGCCTTAAAAAGCAAATACAGGCCGGTTGCGGTGGCCTCACCCCTGTAATCCCAGAACTTTTGGGAGGACCGAGGCAGGCGATCGCCAAATAAAGTCAGGAAGTTCTAAGGCAGCCTGGCCTAATGAATGCGTAGAGTTCATCCTCTGTCTCTGTACCCAGACCTTGACCAGTTTTTAAGAAGCAGAGAGCAAAAGAAAAAATGGCGGATTGAGGGTAGAGCAAGAATGAAGCCGTGGTGGGACTGCCCTGTAGATCCCCAGCGTGGCGCAGGAAGGATGGAGAAGGCCGTATGGCAGGAGAGAAGTGACGATATGCCTATGTGAGACTGCCCACCGGGTGGACAGAAGGGTTCTCAGGGCTCTGGGGACCCAGGGACAAAGGGACGGTTGCAGAGGCGCGTGAGGCTGCAGGATGAGCGAGGCACTGCGCGACATAGCTGTGAAGGACCAAACCGTGGGCCACAGAGCGAAGAGCATCCTGACTCTCAAAACAAAAAAGAAGAAAAAAAAAAAAAGAAAAAAAGCTAATACAGGCCGGGCGCGGTGGGCTCAAGCCTGTAATCCCCAGCACTTTGGGAGGCCGAGACGGGCGGATCACAAGGTCAGGAGATCCAGACCATCCTGGCTAACACAGTGAAACCCGTCTCTACTGGAAAAATACAAAAAACTACGCCGGGCGAGGTGCGGGCGCCTGTAGTCCCCAGCTATTTGGAGAGGCTGAGGCAGGAGAATGGGAACCGGGAGGCGGAGCTTGCAGTGAGCTGAGATCCGGCCACTGCACTCCAGCCTGGGGACAGAGCGAGACTCCATCTCAAAAAAAAAAAAAAAAAAAAGAAAAAAAAGCTTAATACAAATACAGCATATACAATAGGCAAAACTGTATATTTTATTTTATATTTTTTTTTTTTAGTAGAGACGGGTTCACCATGTTCAAGAGAGATTAGGACTGGCTCAAACTCCTGACCTCAGGTGATCCGCCCGCCGTGGTCTCCCAGTTGTTAGGATTACAGGCATGAGTCACCACACCCGGCCTAAAATTGTAAACATTTTAGAAGAAAGTATAGATGAATCCCTTTGTGATCTCGGGGAAGAAGAGATTTTTTTTAAAGATACCAAAAGAAGCACAAATTAGAAAAGATTGAAAATGTTGGCATTAAAATTTAAAAACGTGTTTCCATGAAAAGATACCATAAAACAAGCTTGTGTCACCCACGACCCACAGGCTGCACGAGGTCCAGGATGGCTTTGCATGCAGCTCAACACAAATTCGTAAACTTTCTTAAAACATTATGAGATTGTTTTGAGATTTTGCTTTGTTTTGCTTTTTGTTTTTTTTTAGCTCATCAGGTATCATTAGTGTTAGTGTATTTTATGTGTGGTCCAGGACAATTCTTCTTCCAGTGTGTCTCAGGGGAGCCAAAAGATTGGACACCCCTGCCATAAGAATGAAAAGACAAGCCTCACACTGGGAGAAAATATTTGCAACACAGAAAACTGACAAAGAAGATTCCTAGCTGCAATCCAGAGAGGACTCAATCAACGAGAAAAAGAAAAACAGCAGAAAAACAGGCCCAGGTAGTTCACACAAGGAGAATCCTAAGTGGCCAAGAAACTATGAAAATACCTTTTATCCTCACTAGTAATCAAGGAAATGCAAATTAAAACCATAAGGACAGGACGTCTATTTCACACTCATCAGATTGGCAAAATTTAACTGTCTGACAATATGCCAAGCATTGGTGAGGATATAAACAACGAATCTCGCTGGGCGTGCTTGTGCGCGCCTGTAATCCCAGCTACTCGGGAGGCTGAGGCAGGAGAACTTCTTGAGCCTGGGAGGCAGAGGTTGCAGTGAGCTGAGATCGCGCTACTGCACTCCAGCCTGGGTGACAGAGTGAGACTCCATCTGAAAAAAAAAAAAAAAAAAGCAGTGTGATACATTGACCTAAGTAAGGTTTAAGAACATGCAAACTGATATTATATATCACTTAGGGACAAAAACTTACATGGTAAAAGTAAAAAAATGCATGAAAATAATAAAAATCAAATTCGAGATGGCGGTTATGGTGATAGGGGAAGAATTGAGGAGGAAATAGAAGGTTGTCACTATACTGAGAATTTTTTCTTCTTTTTTCTTTTAATTTTGAGATGGAGTCTCGCTCTGTTGCCCAGGCTGGAGTGCAGTGGTGTGATCTCGGCTCACTGTAAGCTCCGCCTCCCGGGTTCACGCCATTCTTGTGCTTCAGCCTCCCGAGTAGCTGGGACTACAGGTGTGTCCCATCATGCCTGGCTAATTTTGTTTGTATTTTTAGTAGAGACGGGGTTTCACCATGTTGGCTAGGCTGGTCTGGAACTCCTGACCTCGGGTGATCCACCACCTCGGTCTCCCGAAGTGCTGGGATTACAAGCGTGAGCCACTGTGCCCAGGTTTGTTTGTATGTTTAGGTGAGACGGGGTTTCTCCATGTTGGCCATGCTGGTCTTGAACTCCTGACCTCAGGTGATCCACCTGCCTCTGTCTCCCAAAGTGCTGGGATTACCGGTGTGAGCCCCTGCGCCTGGCCCCTTAAGGAAAATCTAAAGGAAGAGGAGGGTGTGTAAATGTGTGTGCCTTGGGGATAAGGGACAGCTGCAGCAGTGGGTTAAAGTTAACGGAGACAGTGATGCAATCTCAGAATCCAAATTGAGTGCAGGCCGCTTTAAGAAAGGAGTAGCTGTAATCTGAAGCCTGCTGGACGCTGGATTAGAAGGCAGCAAAAAAAGCTCTTGTGCTGGCTGGAGCCCCCTCAGTGTGCAGGCTTGGCGGGACTAGGCTGGGTGTGGAGCTGCAGCGTATCCACAGGTAAAGCAGCTCCCTGGCTGCTCTGATGCCAGGGACGACGGGAGAGGCTTCCCTGGGCTCGGGGGACAGGGGAGAGGCAGGGGCACTCGAGGGAGCAGAAAAGAGGGGTGCAAGGGAGAGGAAATGGGGAGACAGCAGCCCCTGTAGTTTGGGCACAAGGATGAGTGGATGAGAGAGGGCAGAGGGAGTGGGGGTTGGGGGGACAAGGCCGAAGGCCAGGATCCCGTGATCCCCAAATCCCACTGCACCGGCGGAAGAGGCTGGAGAGGCTTTTGAATGAAGTGAGGCCGGACGTGGGGAGGAAGGGGGAGCTAAGCTGCTGGGTTGGGTCTGAGCAGCACCCCAAAGGGACTGGAGCCTGAGGGAAGGAGGCTCCGGGGAGCTGCTCCCACCAAAGGCAGTCAGGAAGGCGGCCGCCCTGCAGCCCAGCCCTGGCCCCTGCTCCCTGGCCTCCCTGCTACTTTTTCAAGAATCAGCTGGTGCTGACTGCTAAGGCAATTTCCCAGCACAACCAAACCGCTGGCCTCGGCGCCCTGGCTGAGGGCTGGGATGGAGGACAGCTGGGTCCTTCTAGCCAGCCCCCACCCACTCTCTTTGGCCAAGCTGTGAGTCAAGGCTGGGAGACCAATGAGGTTGTGGCCTCTGGCAGATATTGTCCACTATTTAGCCCGGCAGGTGTACAGGGCCTGGGGGCCCAGCTGCGGTGCTGGAGGGAAAGGCTGTCCGTTCTGGGGTACACCCTTTCTGCTGCCTGTGGCAAGCCACCGAGAGGGGCGGATCTAAGCAGGATTCGCAGAAACGCCACCCGGTCCGGCGCAGGCCTCCCACCCGGCGTTAGCTGCCCCGGCTTCCGTGGAGCAGTGGGATTGGGGGGCAGGGAGTCCTATTCTTGAGGCTGCTGCTTCTGCGGTGTGGGGAAGTGTGACTCCACGGCACCCGGGGCTGACTCATTCAGGTTCTAAAACTTCAGGAAACATTGTCTGGGGCTGGGTCACCAAGGGTGGGCCAGGGAGGACCCCTCAGAATCCCCTCCAGAGAGCCAGGGGAGGGGGAGGTGCCCTTCCCCACACTGTCTCCGGGGCCCACCGCCCTGTGGCTTGAAGGCCCTGCGGTTCTGGGAAGAGGCGGCGGCGGCTGTGGAGGGTGTTTGTCTCCTAACTGGGTTTAATCTGAAACACATGTATTGGCTTGAGTTGATCCGCCTAACTTGGAGGCAAGATCACAAAAATCCCAGTTTCTGTGTTCCTTGATGTGGGCAATTGTCAGAAAATAAGGCCTGACCTTGGCCCAGCAGGGAGGGTATCTACTGCTCCCTGAGCCCTCCCCCGCCTGCTAGGACAGGAGTGGGGCTTGGATACTGCCCTTTGGACAGGATGGCATCATTGCCTGTGGCCGCAGCCAGCCAGCGGTCGCCTGCTCAGCCCAGGAACCACCACCGTGCACAGGGCATTGGGTGTGCGCTGAGGGGCGCCTGTGTAGACCCCCACGCTCTGCCCTCTCACTGCCCTTGTAGGGTTGTCAATCATCTGTCCTCTTCCCTTATCCAGATGGCCTGAAGTGGAGGTTTCAGACTTGCCCTTAATCCTCCGGGTCCCTGTGTCTAGCTGGGGGCCACCTTTGGACCCGGGTCTCCTCCCTGCCAGGCTGCCTCACTTCACCTCCGCCTACCCACATTGTGACAGTCATCTGTCACCTGATCTGGGGTTTGGGCTTAGATTCTGTAAGGACTGAGACTAAAGTCCCTCCTTCATTTGAATTGTGACTTTCGTTTCCTTAAATACTATGCCAGGAGAATGGCCAGGGGTGGTGGCTCACGCCTGTAATCCTGGCACTTTGGGATGCTGGCAGATCACCTGAGGTCAGGATTCGAGACCAGCCTGGCCAACATGGTGAAACCCCATCTCTACTAAAACAAAAATTAACCAGGTGTGGTGGCGGGCACCTGTCATCCCAGCTACTCAGGAGACTGAGGCAGGAGAATTGCTTGAACCCGGGAGGCGGAGGTTGCAGTGAGCTGAGATCGCGCCACTGCACTCCAGCCTGGGCGACAGAGCCAGACTCTGTCTCCAAAAAAAAAAAAAAAAAAAAACTAGCCGGGCGCGGTGGCTCACGCCTGTAACCCCAGCACTTTGAGAGGCGGAGGCAGGCGGATCATGAGGTCAGGAGATTGAGACCACGGTGAAACCCCGTCTCTACTACAAATACAAAAAAGTGAGCCGGGCATGGTGGCAGGTGCCTGTAGTGCCAGCTACTCAGGAGGCTGAGGCAGGAGAACGGCGTGAACCTGGGAGGCGGAGCTTGCAGTGAGCCGAGATGGCGCCCCTGCACTCCAGCCTGGGCGACAGAGCCAGACTCTGTCTCAAAAAAAAAAAAAATAAAAATAAATAAATAATAATAATAAACTATGCCGGGATGAGCCTGTCTTCTCCCTTAATTTCTTACTTGGGCCAGAGGAACTAGAGATGACAACTTCTCTCTAGCCTTGCCTCCTGTGTACCTCACTGAATTTTTGGTCTCTAATAAACCAGTCTGGAGAGGCTCAGGGCAGGCAGGCTCCTGGCAGCTGCCTGGGGCTGGCCCGAGGTGGGTGGAGACAGGCTGGATGGTGGTGAGGCCTCTGTCTTGCGCTGCAGAAAGCTTTTCCTGTTGTCTACACGAAAGCTTTCTCCCTGCATGTCGGGGCAGCCACGTGCCAGAGCAGCTGGCTGGGAACGCGGGGGTCTTCGGGGCTCTCACTCGAGGCGGGGTTTAGAAAGCAAGCCAGGCGGCTTCCTCTGCCAGTCCCGCCTTAAGCTGAGTAAACTCAAAGGCAGTCTTCTTTCACCTCCCACGATATTGTCCAGTGGATTATCAGATTTAATTTTAAGGACTAGAGCCAACAATCACACAATATCTTCCCAAATTTTCTGATCCAGTTTGTTCTGGGAAGTCGAAAAGTACGTGTGCTGTGTGGGTGGATGTTTGTGTATATAAACGGATAATGAAGGATGATGTATGGGGGGCCAGGGCAGGGGAGCCAAAGTCATTTAGAGTGTACATTTTTTTTTTTTTTTTTGAGATAGAGTCTCACTCTGTTGCCCAGGCTGGAGTGCAGTGGCGCGATCTCGGCTCACTGCAACCTCTGCCTCCTGGATTCAAGCAATTCTCCTGCCTCAGCCTCCCAAGTAGCTGGGATTACAGGGGCCTGCCACCATGCCCAGTTAATTTTTTTGTATTTTTAGTAGAGACAGGTTTCCCTGTGTTGTCCAGGATGCTCTCTGTCAGGCCTCTGAGCCCAAGCCAAGCCATGGCATCCCCTATGACTCCCGCGTATATACGCCCAGATGGCCTGAAGTAACTGAAGAATCACAAAAGAAGTGCCAATGCCCTGCCTCGCCTTAACTGATAACATTCCACCACAAAAGAAGTGAAAATGGCCCGTCCTTGCGTTAAGCGATGACATTACCTTGTGAAATTCCTTTTCCTGGCTCATCCTGGCTCCAAAGGCTCCCCCACTGAGCACCTTGTGACCCCCACTCCTGCCCGCCAGAGAACAACCCCCCTTTGACTGTAATTTTCCTTTACCTCCCCAAATCCTACAAAACGGCCCCACCCTCATCTCCCTTTGCTGACTCTCTTTTCGGACTCAGCCCGCCTGCACCCAGATGATTAAAAAGCTTTATTGCTCACACAAGGCCTGTTTGGTGGTCTCTTCACACGGACGCGCATGACAGTCTCCAACCCCTGACCTCAAGTCATTCACCCACCTTAGCCTCCCAAAGTGCTGGGATTATAGGCGTGAGCCACTGCACTCGGTAGTTGTTTTATTTTAATAGTAGGTTATTTTACTTCCATTTTACAAGAGAAAAAATGGTGATTTGCAGAGCTACAAAGACAAAGCACTGAGACCATGTGTGGTGGCATGCGCCTGCAGTCCCAGCTACTCAGGAGGCTGAGGCAGGAGGATCATATGAGGTCAGGAGTTCCAGGCTGTGCTGTGGTTGTGCCTGTGAATAGCCACTACACTCCAGCCTGGGCACCATAGCAACACTTTGTCTCCAAAAAAAAAGACACAGAATTGAAATGTGAACCCAGGCTCTCTGACCCTAGGCCCTGCACTCCTGACCATGGGAGGAAGAGCTCCTGAAAGGGAACTGTGGGAGAAGGGAATGAGCCTCCTTGTGAGGCCACAGGTTTTAGGCCAGAGAATTCCAAAGAGAGCTTGAGAATGTGGAGGGACGGCAGGTGCCGGACTGGGTGCCTCTGCCTGGTACCTGGAGATTCCGCGGAGGAGACCTGGGTTCTGCCCCGTTCTCCTGGGAGAGGTCGCCCCAGGCCTTATTACTGGAGCGGGTTGGCTGCCTCCAGGGCAAAGCCTTAGTGTACATTTGTGCTGGGCCATACTCCACGTGGAGAAGCCCTGCTGGGGCTGGGGCCCCTCTGCTCTGGATCTTTAAAAGCTAACGGTTTAGGGGCCGGGTGTGATGGCTCACGCCTATAACCGTAGCAGTTTGGGAGGCTGGGGCAGGCGGATAAGCTGAGGTCGGGAGTTCGAGACAAGCCTGGAGAACATGGTGAAACCCCATTGCTACTAAAATACAAAAAATTAGCTGGGCGTGGTGGCACACACCTGTAATCTCAGCTACTCGGAAGGTTGAGGCGGGAGAATCCAGGAGGCCAAGGTTGCAGTGAGCCAAGATCGCTCCGTTGCACTCCAGCCTGGGCGACAGAGTGAGACTCTGTCTCAAAAAATTAAAGATAAATAAATAAATAAATAAATAAAAGCTTTAGGTGTAAAGGAGGGTCCCCGGACGCAGACAATGGAAAAAAAGCACGAGCTTACGGTATGACTGTGGGCCCTGAGGCAGGGGGAGGGGCGGAAGAACCTTGCTGGGAGGGATGAGCCTTCAAGCTGAGGGTCCACTTCTGGGAGAATGGGGGGCTGGGAGGTGGTTGCTGCCGCGGGTGGGGGAAAGCACCTAGCCCTGCCCATCCCCTGGGCCCTGGCTGGGGTGGCCAGGAAGGGGTAGCGGGGCAGTGCCGTGGGGGAGGAGAGCAGCCTGCTGCCTCGTGCTTTTCTTGCAGGCCCCGGGATGCAGGCCCTGGTGCTATTCCTCTGCTTTGCAGCTCTCCTCGGGCACAGCAGCTGCCAGAGCCTCGCCAGTGGCCCGGAGGAGGTCAGTCGGCGGGTGGGGACGGCGCGGTCGGCATTCCCAGCCCCTCCTTGGCAGGCAGCACGGGAGACGGGACCGGGAACCAGGACCCAGGTTCCAGGCCAGGCTCCGGCCTTTATTTCTCCAGGGCTGGAGTTTCTCCAGCGGCAAAACAGACAGAGCATGTCTCGCCTCACCTTTCAGGGGACAGAGTGGGGACAAGAATAAGATCCCAAAAAAGTAAAAATCCAAAGCACTTTAACAAGTCCAGGGCTGCCCCCCTGAGTAAAAGTGTTGTCTTGGCCGGGCGCGGTGGCTCACGCCTGTCATCCCAGGACTTTGGGAGGCCGAGGTGGGCGGATCACAGTCACAAAACTAGGAGGACGGGAGGCCCTCAGATTCATACTCCGACTCACAAAAGTCCAAGGGCTCTTGCCAAGATGCCCAGCTGCTCTTGTCCCTTCAAGGGTGGTGCCACCCCCAAACACTCCACCCCGTAACACCTCATATGGACATGCCTCAGGCTTCCCTCATGTTGCTCTGTATCTGCCTGGCAACCCAGCTTTGCCCTTTCTGGCAGGAGAGAGGTCCAGTCCATACTCTCGCTCCCTGCCACAGCCTGGTCAAGATCCGAACCAGATGTGTGGGAACATGCACTGCTCAGTGGAGCCCCCACTAGGAAGAT